AAAAGGGGCAGTCAGGCACTATCGCCGCCGTGAGTGGCCGGCGCGGGGGGCGCGGGGAGCCCCCTCTGCTTGCTCTGTGCCCGCGGCGCGGCGGGGACTCCGGGCCGAGGTGAGCGGCGGGTCCCGGCGGGACACGGGCGGCGCGGCGGCGCCTTTCCCTTGGGGGGACCGGGGGGACCCGGCCGGGCTCCGGGCAGACCCAGGCTGCTGTCGCGGGGCGCTGCGGGGTACCGAGGGCTGCTGGCGGTGCCGGGACCCGCCGCTTCACCTGCGCGCCCGGCCCCGCGCCATGTCCCGGGACGTTTCCACGGGCAGCACCTTCACTGGCGCTGGCGCCGCAGCATCATCGGCTTCGGGAGGAGGGATCGATGTCWTTTAACAAACGCGGCGGACGGGGGTCCACGCTGTTAGCGGAGCGAGCGGCCGAAGCCGCCGTGCCCGCGGGAGCMGGGAGCGCCCCGGATGCTCAGCCGTGTGCTCTTCCAAAGGATGCTGCAAGCACCCGTGCGCTTTGTRTTGAACTACGGTATTCTAAGCAAATGAGGAGCGGATTGCGTGTACTTTCACTCTTAGCAAAGCAGGAAATAAGCCCTCAAAAAAAGTTCAAGATATATAGCAAAATATGCCWGTGTTAAACATATAAAAATATACCCAAATAAGTAGTTTACTATATCTGTGTACCCTTACAACGATGATATTGATAAAAGGAATAATCTGCTACAGCAGAGGTGGATACAGAAATCTGTACAGCAGTGTATACTCAGTAATGTTTAAGTCATTTCACGAGGAGTGATTTCAGCAGCGTGCTCAGTTCTGTGACTAAACAGATTTCTAGTTGTTAAGTGGAAAGTATTAGCCTGAGATTGCTTCTCAAGGCTGTAGCAGAAAGRTACATGTAACAAGACAGAGTAGATTCCATTGTCATTTTTTGCCACAGGTACATGGACAATGTTGTTTTGAATTAACATATTGTGCGTACAATATTTCTTTTTTCGTTTAATTCATGTCAGTTGAATGAGAGCACAGAGTGTAATGAAGAAGAAATTCAATGTTTACTCAAGGTGTTTGATACCTTCTGATGTCAAAATGTCATCTCTGTAGAAATACTATATCTCTGAAAGAAGAAATTTRACAGAATTTCCTGCTTCACCTGTTTGGTCAGTGTCTGTGGTAGTTATTTTCAATRATTTCTGTATCAATAGGCCATTGACCATAAGACCATTCAGAGCAGACTAAGAAAAACTTAGTGCCCTCAGCTTCTGCAGGGTGAGAGCCTGATGGGCAAAGCAAGAGCTGGTGGGAGTAGAATTGGAACTGTGATCTTGACCCAATACAGGAAGCCTAAATAAAATTGTGAACAGTGGGGCATTTTAATTCTCTATGCTGATGTGCAGAACAAGGACAGCGTAAAATAGTGAGTTAACTTGGAGTTCTTAGACCTACCGTCACACTGTTCTTGGATATCAAGAGTTTCTGTCACCTTCCCAATGTGACAGCAGTAACTAGGATCTCAGAGGCATCACTGGAAGATGACCACAAAAGGTCACAGAAGGTGATGAGTTTTCTGACCACAAGTCCAATAAAGTATCCCTGCTAAATGGGACAGGCTGGAGGTGCAAGGTGACAGTGTGGCTGCTGTGCTGTGCTAWGGGGATGAGATGAGGGAAAATGCAGCTATCCAAAGTGTGCCAACTTTTAAATAATATGAATTATTAAGTTTAAATTTAAAATGTTATTTTATTCATTGAAGCCCAGCATCTGCCTCAGTATTTTCATAGGTTATGACCTTAGTGACCAGCATCGCTGAATTTTACATTTGATAGCAAGGCATGTATCCAGTAATCTGCTTGTTGAGGGTGGCAGCAGGTTCATTGCAGGTACTTCAACATTCAGGTGGATGGGGTGGTTGAACAAGGTCTCTAAGTATATAATTTTTTTTTTCAATTTGATTGAAAGGATTCAAATTTTACTATGTAATTCTATTAATAATTAGGAGGATTGCACAAACWTTTCTGAACACCACCACCAACTTTTCTGTCTGCATCATTATTTYAGGGGTTTTCAAAAAAAAGAAAAATCTAAGACATGAGATTTTGGAATAAATGTAAACAAAGAAACATTTTTCCTTTACTTAATGGTTCATTCACAGATTATTGAACTATATTTGTTGTCATATTTGCCTCCTATAACTTGGCCGTGCAATTCAAGTAACAATTGTAAGCAAATTCTTATTTATTRTATAAGAATCTTGACCTTTTGGTGAGACAGAGGAGTACAAAGGCAGAAGATGTTTTGAAAAGGAAATKTAAATGTTAAAGCAGAATCTTTCTGACTTGATCTAAACCTTAACTCCTTATAAACAATTAGAGCAAAGGGAGATAGGTGGTTCTGTCACAAAAACACGCAAACCAAAACAAATGTGGCAGAATATGTGTGTGGTTTGGGTTTTTTTAATAGAAATAGTTTCTGTGTGGTGTCAATATATTTTTCCCTTCAATGTTCTTAGTGCTTCCCATGAAACCTCTTGGGAATTCAATGTTTAATTTACTAAAAGCAGACACTCCTTGTTTCTTGTTTCAGTTTAGAAGCCATTGAAATATATTTGTGAGCACTGAAGGAATCAGTAGACCCTTTAAGGAAAATAATACTTTGTATTTCATTGCAGACATAACTGTACTATATACTTCTTAAGGGGGAAATATCTTGTTCTCTACAGTCACAGTCTCTATCACAGTAAGAACTGATGCTCTCTGAGTGCTCTAACAGATAACATGCAACTGCTGATGATAYATAAAAATCTTGAGATTCTTGAAGTCTTGACCCAATCAGAGCCCCTYAAACATTTTTGTCAGAGAATGAAGTACAAAATATCAGTACTATAAAAGGTTTACTCCATTTAAAATCTGCTGTATGTATTTCTTTTGCTACCAAGCTTACAGAACTTGCTTAAGGAACACGTTTTTAATGTTTAAATATAATCAAATGCTTAATTCCTATCCTCTTTTGAGGTAAGAGAACCTCCATTGAATTCCCAGAGAAGGCATGTTATCATACTAACTTACTGAGCATAAAACATAAATGAAGTAAAATGTAAGAAGTAGAGTGTGTATTTTGTAGATTTACGAAGTGTCCTTTAATAGCTGTTTGAGGCAATATTAAGRAGTGTTTTGTGTAAACAGTCTTCAAGGTCATTGATGTTAAGCTGTCTGAGAACATGGTATGAGACAAAGAATTAATTTATCTTTGCCCCTTGACCTGGTACTGGTTTAGGAGTTCACCTTGCAGCCTGGGTTAATTTACCTGTGCTATGCCAAAATGAGTAATGATGACTTAACCTCTCATCTTTTAAAATAAACTCAGATGGCTGATGGTTACCTTGTAACATTTTGCCATGAGCTGTGGTGATTCCAAAGGCAGGTTTCCCTGTGAGGGGAGGGTCAGGGATGGGCTGGTGCCCATGAGGTGTGTGCTGCCCACGGCTCACAGAATCTGACCTGCAAGGGAAGAGAGCCAGAGGTYGAGGGCAACTGCTGCTCATCTGACAGAGCTCATAGAAGAGCCCAAAACCTAAAGAAAACAAAACAAAAAAAATGCCTGAGATCTTAAGTAGTGTATCCTTGCTGCATGCCCAATATTCCTGTTTCTCTGAAACCTTAACTAGCTCCTAATCTCCAGTCATTATGTCCAAGACTTGTCCTTGTAAAATAGCACAGAGATTTGTGCTCGCAGCAGTGAGGATGATGTCATGTTTTGAAAGAGGTGGCTATGGATTGGAGATACATATGCAAACAACCAAGCCTTTGTTTGTTTTTCATTTAAATTTAGTTTGCATGGGCACCTGGTAGAATCTGAAACAGTTTGAGATAGGGTTTGATACCATGGGGGTGGAGGACAGGGGTCCTTAATAAATGCCATAAATCCATATTTGTGTACATGGGTGCTAGGAATTTTGAGCCTGAACACTGGAATTAGATTATCAATAGTGGTTTTCTGCTTTCATAACCAGTTTTAGAATGTAGTAAATAATATATTATTATTTATAGCTTTATTGTGTTACATCTGCATAAAATATGTAAGATTGTATGTGTAAGACAAAGTGCACATAAACTGCATAGATAAGTTGTAAAATACACAAGGATAATACAGRATCTATAATTAATGCATTCAGTGCATTGTACTGCAGTATCATTGTGCCTGTCTTAAAAACACAGCAAATCTAATTGAACTGACTACAAGCTAATTTCAGATTCTTTTGTTTTCCCCARTTCACCTGCTGGTCTGCCTGGTTTAGCAATGTTCCTTTTTCAAGATTTTCTGTTCTGTTTTGCTAGGTTAAAAAAATCCCTCACAAATAAAACCACTTGACTATGCAAAGTAAAGACAATGTCAACATGATCTTTCTACTGAAGTGCTTCATTATTCAACCATACTTGTGTTCATAAATTGCTATAATTTCCATCATATAGTTAGGCATTTAGAGAGCAGTTTTTAAAAATTTGGATATAAGCCTCTTTTCATCTGAACATTAAGTATGTATTTGACTTGAAATACATTATTTATTCTGCTGAAGGCATTTCACCATTGAAACTAAGCTTTAAGCTTTACAAGGAAGCTTAAACTTTTTTGATCTGGTTGCTAGTTTGGAAATTATCTCTGCTGCTGGCATGGGGTCCTGCTGATGCCGCCTCAGAGGTTTTGGGAGGATTCAGTTATGATCGTTTACTCTCTGAATCACAAGCAATTACTCACAAACGCATATAACCTCTTTGGTTTCTGTAAACTGAAATCAGTTTGCCTTTTCTTTCTGTAGAAATGAGGGAAAGAAGGAAAGGGTGAGATGGATGGTAGAAGTATAACAAATCCTGCTGTGGAGAACCAGAAGGGCCTGTGGAGTGTGATACATGCTSCTCTTGACCAGCTCTGCACAGGTCCAAACCCGAGGAACAGAACAGMTCCGTATTAATGTAGTGTTTGTGTCCATTTCTACATTATACCTATACACGCAGATTTTAAAAATTATGACAGAAATCAATAAATGGTCTCAAGATAGGTAATTCTCAAGAAGATAATTGCTAAGCTTTGCTTTGAAACTAAATTAGACCCATCCTGTACATCTTCAAGACAGTGGCCCTAGCAGACTGCATTTGCCTCAGTATTGTCCATGCTGTAAAATACATTATAATGCCCCTCCTTKTTGGATGGGCCTTGCATTGAGACCGCTTGGTGGACAAAGCCAACACAYGAGGCTGCAGCTGAGCTGTGAGAGCATGACCCAACAACTACAACAGTGTCTTTTTTAGGATGTGGGAGGAAGGTATTATCATGGTAACAGGTGTGAGGTAGCATATGTTGCACTTTGGGCTTTTGTTTGGTATTGTATGGTTTGTTTACATGTCTGAGTTCTGTACTGCGTTGACTTATTATAGGTCTTTTTCAGGACACAGTTTTCAACTCACACAGATATAGACATTTCCGTTATATGGTCCCACGAATGTGAAACTAGCACTGAGTCTAGAAACGAAGAAGAGGAAAAAAGAGAAAAAGAAAATACCTTTTTTTAGTACTTTTTTCCCCTCACTGTGTCATTGTGAAAGCTAAAAATAGTTAGTAATACATGTGCAGGAGACAGCTGACTTTTTATACTTGGTCTTACTACATTTTATCCACTATAATACTTGTTTCACTAGATAACATCTAACAACTTTACAAGATGTGAAGAAACACAATTAATACATTTCCATTGGTACCCACAGGCTACAGGAGTACACCACTACATCCTTAGATGTTTACTTTGTACGTGTGAACCCAACAGTTGGGTTGTTTAACCTCCAAAAGTCCAACACTGCGTGCTTTGTTTCTCTATGCAGCCTACTGAGATTAACTGCATCCAGAGAACTGACACTTTAAATGTCCAAGGGAATACTTCAGCATCCCTGGGATCCTCCAAACATTGCTCTGCTATTCCCAGTTTCTCATTCATGGATCTACCGGATACCTTGGAGCTCCTGCCTGAGCTCTGGTGGAGTTCTCAAACCAAGAGCTGCCCTGGGTCACCCAGTCCGTACTGCTGTAGTGTCACATTGGACCTTGCAYCAAAAAGGGACAGGCATGCACTTGTGGGAATGTGATCAGCCCTTGGCCACCACTGCACCCAGTAACCCACTGGTCTAGATGTTCCCCTGGGAAATGGAAGAGTCCTTCAAGTATCTGCTCCARTGAAAATGGACTGTTTTAAAGTGATACAGCTTCACTCCGGAGTGTGTATGAAGCCTTGGCAGCTGATTAGAGCTACAAAGTCTTTGGGGTGACTGGGTACCTGGAAATCAGGTATGGTGCTGGAATGCACATAGTTCCTCTATGGACATCACCCTTTTTTCCCTGATTTTTTCAGATGGAGGAGAGAGACACACAGCAACAGAACAAGGCATCTTTTGAAACAAATCTACACCTAAAACTCCTAGTTCTTTTTTTAAGAAGATTATCTGAATTAAATAAGCCTTTTCACTCACCTGTAAAATATGTTCAGATAGGTGTTCCTTTGTAAGGAAGGCTGCAGTATTTCCTCTCAKAGGGTTGGGTCACGCAACTCTGCTCACAGTTGTTTCAATAAAATTCAGAAGACGTGATCCCAGCTTCTCTTTRTCACTGCTAAACTACACAGCTCTTCAKAACTCTGAATATATAAAAAATCCTAGATTACAAACATCTTTGTGAGTAAAGCAGAARTGCTACAAATAGAAGGAAAAATACAGGAGATGAAACTACAAACTGTTACAAACACATAATGTCACCAGCTGACACTAGTCTGCAGCGTGCTTTTCTCCAGCCCCATCAAACTTCAGTAAGAGGATCCTACACTTCTGTAAAACAAGTATATTTTCATTTCTTTAGTATCACATTTTTGTGAGTTTGCTTATGCAGTAATGTATACACATTATTATGAATAATTTTGYTTTGTGGAAAACGTAAACTTCATCTAAATATTGAAAGAAGATCACAAAGGCCCTAATGTCCTACCAAGTATAATAAAAATTTACAAGACTGCAGCAATGTGGCAAACCAAGTTCACACCAAGCAGCATTGTGACATTGCCTTTTGCTCAGTTTAGTTTGATTTCTGAGAATATTTTGTTTGAGTTTTATTCATTTGACCTGCTGAGTGTGTGTTTAAAATGAGAAAGAAATCCAGCCAGCAGAACTCCCCTTTGTTCTGTCCAGGATTATTCCATCACCCAAAGGGATCATGTTTTTCATGATGGAGCCAGGAAGCAAAGAAACCATAAAAAAAGCTGACCAAAACCAATGCCAGACAAAACCARAGCATCTCCAGAAAGTTGTAATTAAGTTCATCATCAGGCAGAGCCTTCCACTGCAGCAAATATCCCAGGGGCAGAAGTGTTRCCTGCCCAAGGGCATGTGTAGTTTGGAATACTCACTGTCTACAGCTCTGATGTTTTTTCCCTTGATAAACCAAACAAAACAATCCTAATGACTACAAAAACATCAGCTCTGCTCTCCATACACTGCTCTCTGTTTTCCAAACACTTGTGCATTATTACACACAAGCCACGTGTGCTGAAACCTATTAAATTTTGCTATTCATTTCATGGAGAAGACAATCCCCTCCTTGGAGGTGCATATGCAGAAGAGCCTGGGTACTGGCTGTGAATAAATTTCCCATTGTACAAGTAGGCAACTCCACTGATTTTAGTTGTTCCTRCTGTCTGCTCTTCCATATGAAAGGCTATTAATGGGTTTAAATCTTTGTTTTATTCTGTTTCTGTGATGAGTTGCTTGCAATTTMCATGGTGGTGGCCTCCAGCTGAAGATGTGTAAACTTGGACTTGAATTAAAGACTTAGGGAAACCTGTTCAAGTTTGTTTTAGATACTTTGCTGCCTGGGGATCTCCATGGGTTAGAGTGATTTAATGTCAGGCAGGTTGTTGYAAACAATCTAGGAAAGTATCTTGTACTAAGTGGAACTACTGAGAAACTATACTTGTCTGCACTAGTTATATTTATCGAGATTTTCCGATTTCTAYGTTGTTTTGAGCCAATATAAAATAGCAGCCATCTAAACACTGCATGTATGAATTGCTGGACATCTGTTGGTCACTGAAACTTTCCTTTGCTCTCAAAATAGTTATCTTAGCAGCACTCGTGTTCTGACTGGAGAAAAAGAGTATCTTTAAGAGTGCTTTACAYAATTTTCATACTGAAAAGACATTGCATAATATGAAGCCATGAGGTTTTCTTTCATGACTTGTTGCAGAGTAAGATGTCTCAAATAAGGAGAATCCCCAGGCACTTTGTCCTYTCCAGCTACACCAATGGAGCACCAGAAGATGAAATCTACAGTAACCTCCAAACAATTCCAGACACCACAGAGCAAATGGAGTTTGATATCAGGTATCACACTACATTAATACWCCTTCTGTCCTCCCCAAGTACAAAGCACCAGGCTTTCCAGAAAAGTGATAAGCCAAATAATTATAGTGCATATTACTGGAAATGGAATAGATGCAAGTGTAGATAACCTGTAGTGCTTAACACTGACTGTTCAAGATTATGCTGCATTAAATGTCTGTAAGTTTTAATCTTGCACAGGGACACAGATGTGGCTCTTCATTAGAGACCCACCTGTTACAGCAAGCAGCTGAAGAAGCCATTTTTACATAATTCTCCAGGCGCCACTTAAAACAAACTAGTAGTGCTGCTTTGGGTCTTTCTTAATCCCATATATAYGTTTTTCCAGTAAAAGAGTCAGGGGTTGTCTTTCTCCCCATCTGTGAAAATTCCTGTCTGTGGTTCTCTTGGGTTTGGTTGGTTTTTTTTTTTTTTGGGTTGATGGACTGACCAAACCAAGCCCAAGTATTTTTTCAAGCAGACTCTAGAATTAAGCTCTTAAGACCACTAACTATTCAGCAGATCTCATAAACAGATCTCAGCAGAAATGCAAGTGAAAAATGTATATTCATATTATTTGTTTACCAAAACAAAACATGTGTCTAAGAGAAGCTGAATTGAATTGGAAATTTTCGTCAGGGAAACATAACCAGTTTTTGGCATCAACATTGCCACAGATGTTGTTCAAATATCTTTATGTCCCAAGACCTCTCTGAAAGCCTTAAGGTTTTGGTCAGTTCATACCCAGCCACCACCCAGTAGCTGGAGACCCACACTGCATAGTGGAACTCACTGGAGTAAATCTGTTGGATGAAAAAGCCAACACTTCTGTAAGATTAAATATTTTGAAAGGTTTGAAGGGAAGGTTGTTTCAATATTTTAACCTGGGTGAGGGGAGGGAGGGAGCAGGACAAACAAAAATCCCAAAGCAGGATTCTATTGTCTTGTATAAAGAAGCACCTAAAGAACCAACATATTTAGTTAAAAGTGCAAAATGTATAGCTTTTAATGAAAACATCAAAACCCTTCTTATGTATGGGCATAAGATGTGTTATTAATAAACCCACAAATAACAGGAAACAAAAACCCTGTAACATTCCCCTTTTGCATGCCCAGATTATCCCAAGTGTTGGGGGAATAATGGTACCTGACATTTGCAGAGTGCTTTTAAAGAATTGCTGTTGCAGGGTTCTCCTCTAACGTGCACATCCTGACTGCTTTGCAGCTTAGCTACTCAGGTTGGCCATCAGCTGGCTCTGATTGGGGATGAATTTAACAGGAGGTACCACAGGACATTAGAAGAAACACTGCTTCACCTGGCAAGAGTGTAAGTTATGTTATTGGCAGGTCCTTTTAAAAATCCTGTTAGATAAAAAAGAATGTTCCTATACACAAAAGAAAAAAATGTATTGCTATTACTGCTGCATCATACAGAACCTAGAAAAGCAAAACAGATGCTTTTACAAGGAAAAGCTTTGTAATAATGTATATAGTGAATTGTTTCCACAGACTATAGCCATTTAAAGTCAAAAGACCTGAATACTTTCTTGCTGTTTAAAATTCCTCAGAGGCACAGTAGCTTTAGACATGACTTTTAACACAATTGAGTGGTGAGAGGCTTGCAGCCCAGTGTGGGATTAACATGTTACTGCATGTGCAATAACCTCCCCATGCTCATMCAAGGAAACATGGCTGGACTAGTTTGAACTGCCTGCTGTGAGCTGAAGGGTTGTCCTGCATAGTTATTAACTGACATGCAGCAGTGTCCCAACATAAGATCCTCAGCCGTGTCTGAACCCCCAGGTACTCTACCTTATTTTCTCCTTGCTTCTGGGAGAGGATGGTCACTCACTGCAGACCTACCAGAAAATGTGGTTCAATTACAGCTGTATGACAAATGTAACATAACATAACATAACATAACATAACATAACATAGCATAACATAATGTATGGACATAACATATATATATATACTCCTTCTACCTCATTACAGCTGGATTCAGAGAGCCTGTAGCATTGCTATGTCAGTCCTGTATTGCTGTCCTGATTCATCAGGGATAAACAGCTCTCATCAGGTCATGCTCTTCTAAGTTTGAAACAACTGCAAAGATTGTCACTTATTCACTTAATTCTGAAACTAAATTATCTTTAGATTTCAAAGGTCTTAATTCTAAATATTTTGAGAAATATACATGTACACATACACTTTCAGGAAGGAATACACTAAMCGTTTTTGTTTGGGTTTGGCTTTGTTTTGGTTGGCTGGGTTTTGTTTCCTAAACTTTGTATTTTATTAGCCACTTTTTAGAATAAATTTTCTCTCCTAATGCTTTCTCTGTTTTGTTTAAATCATCAGGGCTGCTATCCATGTTTTCCAGACATGGAATGTTATTAAAAGTGTTACAAGAAGCTTTGGAAATGTTTTGAACAGTAACTGGACAAAGTGGATCATTGGCCATGGAGGCTGGGTATGCCGTTTGTCTTTTCTCCCACCGTTTTTTTTGGCAAGTAGTCAACAGTAACACCTGACTCCCTTGTAATGTCAGTGAGTGAAGCATATAATGTGGATTTAGGTTGGGGTTTATCCCTYAGTTTATTGGTGCCTCCTGAATGCTCTGGTTTTTTCTGTTTAGGCTGAAGTTTCTCATTTAAAAAGAAGGGTTTTAAGAGGCTGCTGCCTAAATCCCACACAGGTCCCCGGGTTCCATTCAGAGGGGAGGCATCTGCCACTATTGAATGCTAGAAGGGTCTCCCTGGGGAGATGAGCTGAGCTACTGCCAKTAGTGTTTACCCAGAGAAGCGAGGAGGGTTCTTTAGTGGCTGGATCTGACCCTGCCACAGCAGCAGTCTCAGCCACCAGCAAAATTGAACCCCTCTGCATTTCTGCACCAGAATTGGACYGCGCTCTCAAGTCCACACTGACCTCCCACAAAGGCACTCTTTTAGTTTTTTGCACCATCTTCTTGCTGCTTGTTATCTCCAATTACCATCTTCTTTCTTCCCACAGGCTTGCAGGCTTCCTTTTAGGTGCCTCTGCCAGAAGCTGGTGCCTGCAGCTTTGCTTGTTGCTGCCTTTTGGTGGGCCATGACTCATGGACTGTAGAATTAACACACAGAATTACAAGAGAGGTCATTGCTGGACACTGACCAACATCATTAACACCCTAGTGGTGGCAGCTGGTTTGTTTTTCAAATTTACACTGATAAAAATCTCTTTCATATTTAAAACCTAGGCTAGTGCTGGGTCACTGCTGTTTCATATCTTTTTTTTAAGAAAAAACCGTATAAATAAGGAGGTTGTTGCTGGTTAACTGCCTGACTTGCTGGTTTTGACATGTGACTCCAGGCGATTAGAAAGTCTATCTTTTTTGTGTTTATTTTAATGCAATATAAAGTGTCTATTTCCTATAAATGAGTTTATTAAAGAAATTCTGGATATGAGGAAGACTGAAGGTATGCTGGACATCCTTTAAATTTTAACACTGTCAAAGCAATAGTAAAGATTAAAACCATGATACTTTTTAAAAATTAAATTGTTGCTTGAAAACTTTTGCACTATTGTCTTCTTTATTTTCCAAGACTCTGCTATCACACATTAAAGGCAATATGTTCTGCCCCTTTTCAAAGTAAAAGAATGAGCTGCCCAGAACAAAACCCCAAGAATTTGATGGAATTCTGAGAAGGGTTTTTTTAAGAGGYTGCAGGTCTTTTTGCAGGCCATGTGCTTGGGGGGAATAGAAGCCTAAAGGGAACATGAGCACAGCTTTCAGGATCAACATGGTCAAGGTGTCACCCTCCCGGACTCCACGGGTGGCAAGTAACGCACAGTTGGGTTTTTCCTCTCTTAACAACTCCCAGTCATGTCCAGTTATTCTCTATCCGGGGTATCTATCTCCCCTACTCTTTCCTGTTGAGGCTGGTTTTCACCGTATCCAGCTGTAGACTCTCTCAGCGAGAGAAAATGAAAGTGCATCTCTGTGGTTTGGGTATTCCCCTCAGCACAGGGGATGCCTGCATCTTGCCCAGACAAGCAACTAYTACCCATAGCCTATTTTTGAAACAGGAAAATACAATACTCACTGGATTTGTGATCYAAGCACTCAGAAGTTGGAGTTTCAAATTCAAGTCTCTGCCTTAAAGCACACAAAGAATTTAAGCCCCTCTTGTAGTTMGTGAAGACAAATGCCAAAGCAAATAAAATTTAAGTGTGTTGAGGAACATGATTCCTTTCTTTAATGAAGGGTGCCTAAATCCCATTATGATCCTAACTGCCCATCTCAAAAAACTTTTCCGGGAAAAAGGAACATGAAACTCCACTAGACTATTTCACTTGACCATTTCATGCAAAGGACTTTGAAATACCTTTGAACAACTTGAAATGYGGAGCAAAAGGAAAGCATGTAAAGAAGGAATGGAAAGGGTGATGGCTTCAGTRTACCCCAAAAGTTCAAGCAGCAGCACACATTCCAAATAAACCTTTTTTCAAAATGCTCTCAAGATAAATAATCTTTATGCACARAGGAGCAATGATGAACAGGAGACTGATGCACTGCCTATTTCATCCAAGAACTGTGCAGGGTGACTGCTTTTTTCCACTSTTGTAATCCATAATGTAAGGTTTTGAATCACAAGAGAGAGGAATTTCATCATCCAGCATGTATGGAGCAAAACACAGTCTTGAGAAATATAAAATTCAATCACACCAAAGAAACAAATGAAACACAAACAGCATCCAAAGCAACACCAATCAGCATCAACACCAATACTAACTGGAGTACCAGAGAGCAGTGCCAGGCTCCTCTCTCGCCTATGGAGCACAGTCAGTTAATCCTTTAGTCACAGCCCCACAGTCTGACTCAGGAGACCCAAAGCTAATTCTGTTTTTTACTGCACACTTCCTCATATAACAGCATTTACGGCACTTGATTTTCTTCCACATCCTGTTTCTGCTTGTTCACAGGCGAAGGAGCCACACTAGTTTTTCACATATTAAACATTAATTTTCCCGAAGCAGAGGGGATAGGTGAGCAAACACATTAAAGAAATGCATGGAGATCCAGGGTTCTTAATTATCTGGCCACTCTGTGCCCAGGCACAGGCAGGTGTTACCAAGCACACGAGGTTCGGTTGTGCTGACAGGCATCACACTAAATCAAGCCCTGAACGCCCTCAATACAGAGGTACGAAGACTCCATCACACTTTCTCTGCTCCTAGAAATTGCAACATCAGCACAAGAGCACGATACCCTTTGACTTCTAGTCTTGGAGACACAAAGTTCTCTAAACTTYGGAGCAGCCTCGGCTCACTTGCTGCTCAGAAGAAAAGCAAATACCCCACAGCGGTGATTGGGTCCTTCTTCCCACTAAGTAAACAAGGCCCACAAGATTGGAATGCTTTTAGGATACAGACTTCCCTTCAGCATTCTGCAGCTGACAAAGGTGTGAAGGTTATCTAATGGTCTGCAAACAAAAAATTTCTAGCATGGTTTTACCAAAGAGCTTTAATTCCAAGCAAAAAGTACAACAAAGTGAAATGGGGGGGGAAGAAAAGAAAAAACTTATGGCAAGAATAGTACAAATACAAAAATGTTTCTAACATTTTCAGCGAAGTTTAATAATTAAAAAGAGTCCAGAAATTTAAAGCACTAAAATTAATGCCACCAACACACCATGCTTAGTTCCAACTAACATAAAAGCTGGTTTGAAAGTCACTTGCATTTGTTCTTGCAAGACATGGTCAGAAACTTCTAACACAGCATAATCCAGTGTTTAATAATATGAATGGGATTTAGTTGCAATAATCTAACCAATAATTCTAACTGAAAACTATGGTATGCTTTACCGAATAATTAACACCTTACCTGTGATGCAGGATCCTTCACTGAAATAATTTTCTTTACAGTAATTCCACCCCATAATCATCAGCCTCTAACAGTCCAATGGGAAAGCTGACAAATTCTTCAGTATTTTACTAACTGTTAATGTTTACACATGGTAAAAGTGGAATTTGTACTGCAAGAGCAGTCCACGAAAGAACTGTTCAATAACAGTCCACTTAGCAATGATAATCAAGGCCAGTGTTTTTAATTCACTCTCCCTTTCATAAATGTGAAATTACAGAATGAGTGATACTGTATTAGGAAGTTCTCCTGCATTTCAGAATACATTATTGAAGGCATGGTCAGTCACTTGACTTAAGTAATATATCCTAAATTTTTCCTATACATCTGTAAATGTATAAGGAAATAAAATACAGCACTGAAATACCAAAATACAAATGGGAACCGGGAAGCTCTTTTCAGGAGGGTTCGGGGCAACCCTGCTGCTCTCCAGCTCATCATTTCCTGCTGCCAGGAAATGCACATAATAATTTTGTTAAGCTTTTTTTTTCCAGTTAACATTTCTTGTATAACTTAGTACAAACAGTGTGGCACTGGAAAACTGGAGTGAAAGTTACTTACATCCCCATGTAGACAGAGCCAATAATGATGCACCCCAAAGCATAAAAATAGCAAGAAAAACTTCATAGTTTATTTATAGTTTAACTTTAGGAAAATAATTTTTCTAGTAACATCTTCTGCCTTACCCAGCTGCTACCTGGCAATTATGGATACAAAATAAGAGAATTTTACATAGATGAACATCCCACAAAGTCAGCTGAGTTASAAAACAGGAATATCAACACACTGAAAGCAGTATCAACAAATGGCTCCTTTAAATGCACCCTCAAGCCCAGAACAAAGTCCTSCACAACTTGGAACCAACAGCCTGGTACTACCCCTGCATTCCTGCAGAAGATCCCTGCACCCCACAGTCACGGCTACCAACTGTAACTTGAATCCACACCCAAAAAACACCCCCCAAAAAAACACCAAACCAAAAAAACAGAGAGGGAAAGATGCTTGCAGGATTGAGGCTGAACAATGCTATTTGGCCTGTTTGTGGATAGCTTTGCAGTCCCAAAACAGATGGAAGAGCCAAACTTTGCTCTCCCCTTCCACACCTGAGGAACTCAAAGGAAAATGTTCATTGCAATTAYGCAAATAGTGCTCCTTATGACATGAGAAGCCAAGAATGTTTAAGACTTCCTCTTTTGGGAGCATGTTTTAAATCAGAAAAAATAAGTTGTGTGGGTTTTTCTCAAAATGTTAGTTAAATTTCCGCTGTTTCCTCATCTTCCAGATCATCTACATGTTTATATTGTTTCCAGGCCTTTAAATTGCACTGTTTGAGAATGGCTCCCAGTTGATTCCCGGGCCCTACTTCATAGGTGTAAGGAAATTCCGTTCCTTGCTTTCTTTCGTACACTGAGTGCATGGTCTGCTCCCACAGAACTGGTGACACCACCTGCTTCACTAACAGCTTCTGAATGTGCTTTGAGTGCATGTACTTTTTGCCATCAACATTGGAATACACACAGAGCAGTGGTTTCTGAATCTCAATCGATTTTAAGACTTCAGCCAAAGGCTCTACTGCTGGTTCCATAAGTCTGGTATGAAAAGCCCCACTGACTGGAAGCATTTTTGCACGCTTAAAATAATATTTTCGGGCATTCTCCTGCAAAAACTCCAAAGCCTATAAAAGAGAGAGAGAAGTGAGTCTTGCACAACAAAGATTTTCTCAGCCACCCCACATCAGACTTGCTGTGATAAAGGGACTCCTTTCCCTACCCAACAACTGAACACATGCTGGGAAAAAAMCCCACAGATAAAATACTTTTATTTGGACAAACTAAGGCTATAGATAACACCCACAGAAAAGTGCAAAGTAAAATTTTTWAAAAAAGTGAAATACTCAGTTCAACTGAAGGAATAGTTATTCTGAAGCAATACCTTTAAGTGTCCTGCAATGACTCTGCTGTCTGGAAACAAATAATTTGAAACTGTGCACACGGGGTTCTCTATACCCAGCGATTCACAGTGTTTACGGGCTTCCAGGCAGGCAAATTTATAATTTGCCTCTCGCCGACCGATAACCGAGAGCATTCCACTGGGAACAGCTTCCGACGCCTTTTGCATGGCTTCGGCGCGCACTTTCACCGCGTACAGCGCTATGGAGAGAAACAAGAGATGCTGGGTGAATGGGAGCGCGGGCACCTGCGCGCAAGAAACGGCAGTTGTGCACTCTTGTGGAACGTCAATGCTTTTAATGCTGGATTACACATGTTAAAACGAACAGGGGAAGTAGAAAGTAAAATTCTTCCTCTAATTAAAAAAACAAACAAACAAACAACGTGAGGGACACAGTGATGACAGGCAATGCTTTGCAAACAGCACGGGCCCGGGGTGAGAGATCCTAGCAGGGAGTTCCGCACTTCCACCAGGCACCTTCGGCAAAGTCCAGGGCTCCAGCGAAGACCAGCGCCGCGAACTCCCCCACGCTGTAGCCGGCGGCCGCCACGCAGCGCTCCACCACCTGCGGGGACAGAGCCGAGCGGCGCCTCAGCCGCACCGCGGGACAGGCCCGAGGCGCCGCCACCCGACCCCGGCCCGGCCCCCCGCGCCCCTCACTTCAGGCTGCTGGTGGTTGAGCTTCTCCACGGCGGCCAGGGAGGCGACGAACACGGCGGGCTGGCAGTGCTGGGTGCGGTCCAGCGCGTCCCGCGGCCCCTCCAGGCAGAGGGAGAGCAGGTCGTAGCCCAGCACCTTCTCGGCCAGGCGGTACATGTCCCGCACGCCGGGGTAGCGCTGCAGCCCGCGGCACATTCCCACGAACTGGCTGCCCTGCCCGGGGAAGAGCAGCACCGTGCCCTCCCGGGGGCACCGCCACTCCCGCCTCACCGCCGCCTCGCCCGGCTCCTCGGCCTCCACCGAGCTCTGCAGGAGGTCGCTCAGGGTCGCCGCCGGGTCCCCAGCGCCGGGGCGGGAGCTGCCCCACCGCCGCACAGCGCCGCGGAGGCCGCCGCGCCCGCTGCAGCCACCAAGCCGCCATGGCGCCGCGGCCCAGCCGCCCATGGCCGYCGCCCGGGAACGGGCGTTGCCACGGGAACGGGGCGGCCCCGCCCGGCAGCCGCTGCCGAGCCGGGCGCCGGCAGAGGGGACGGAAAGGAGGGAGGGAAATCGGTCGAGCCGCCCCGGCGCTCGCCGCCCTGAGCCGGGTCCGTGCCAGGCGCCTCCGCCTGCCCAGAGCCGAGAGCCCGCCCCGGGGCGGGGAGCCCGCGCGGCCCCGGGGGCGGTGCTTCCTTCTCCCGGCAGAGCAGGCGCGACCGGCAGCGGCAGCAGCGTGGAGAGGAGGTAACGCCGGTGCTGCCCTTGGCATGGCGAAGATGGGACGGGGAGCTCTAGGGGGGAATGCAGCTCCTGAACGGGGCCCGGCTGCCTCTCCGGAGGGGCCGCCYGACCCCGCCCCAGCCCCCGCGAGGGTCCCGGCGCTCCTGGAGCTCTGCCGCCGCCGGGACCGTCCTCGGTTCTGTCGCGGGTTGGCAGAGCAGGGTGAGGGGGGCCATCCCGCTTCCTGCAGCCGGCGATAGCCCCGTGCCGGCCAGCTGGGATCCCACCGGGCAGGACGGGACAGGCGGCGCTGGATGGAGACGGGCGGGGCGCGACAGTGCCGCCGCTCACGAGCCGAGAGGACTTGGGCAAACACTCAGGGCTTTTCCATGCCGCTGTTTAATGTGGAAAATATATTTTAAAACAAAAAAACGAACCAAGTTAGGAGGCTTATTAATAATTTTTATCCGGCAAATGAGTTTTTCAGTGGTTCACGGCCGTCTGTGCGCGCACGCCCGAAAGGCAGAACCTGTTCCTCGAGTCTCACCGGGAGCGGCGGCTCTGCCGCGYACACGGGGTACATTCGCTCTCCCCCCCGTGTTTTCGTGGTGCTATTTAACTAAAAGTATCTTCCTTCAGTGTCGCTGAGGAACATTTCTTAAAAGGTGAAAGAAAGGGCTTTGGTTTTAATGCTGAGTTTTTAAGTAATGCTTATAAATCAGCACAAAAYGCACCGTGATATGAGTTGACCGTTTAGTGGTAAGATTATTTTTTAAAAAGTGAAAGTTGCTATACCGGAGTTGCAATTGTGTAACGACTTTGCATCACGTAAGGTTATGAAACAGTATCAAGCATTGAGTCAGAGCAGCTCAGTAAAAGAGACTGTTAGTAGAGCTTGGGAAGAGGAAAATGTGTCACAATAGCAAGAAATTATGTTGACTTTTGATTTGGGCCTTTGATTTGAAAGCATCACAGTGAGCAGATTTTTCTCTTTTCTGTTCTCTCTGCTGTGTTACTTTGTGACTTCCTCCATGCTTATCAGCCTCCAGGTAAAATACTTGGAAAAGCCATTGTACTTCTCAAGGTAGCTGAAATATATGGGCAGTAACATAGGAGATATGACATGTATGTGACCACATCCCAGCCTGTGGCTGCCTCCACCTGTAACATAAGTGTCAATGAGAAGAGACTGAGCAGTTAATGGCAAATTATCCCAGCAAAGATTTTGCTCCAGTACCCTTTCAGTTCCCAGTATGTGAATAAATCACAGATGTGTTTGCACAAYATGTGCTCTGCCACTTTGAAAGAAGTGTACCCTGGGCAGTGAGATTTTTTTKTTTTCATCTCTGCACCTTGCATTATACTCTTAAATAAATATCATAGTTTTATTTTTAATTCTAAATACTATATAATAATATTATAAGCATATACACTTGTTAGATATTTATATTCTATTTATATTCTATAACATTCATTATTTGAAATGTCTCTATTACTTGAGATTAGATAGCAAAGCTCACTGCTTTTTTTTTTCTTGTGGTAACTGTATTCTTTGTCATAGACTGTGACATAACTTTGATTTTGGTGTTGCAGCTACCCAGGAGTTAAAACCACAATGAGCATAAACAGTTTATGATTATAAATTAAATATGTTATCCTTAATTCTTTAGAGAGCTATCTCACAAAGATGCCTTTTCCCTGGGGAAAAGCTTGTATGCTGCCTCTCAGAACTGGGCAGAGCCTTACTCGCCTTCTCATCCTCTACCATACATTTTTTTTTGAAGGCAGATATCTGTCTTGGGGACCCCCAAGGGGCACAGCTTTGTCAGTCCATCTCCAAATAGAGGGCACAAGGAACCCCAGGGCTGTGAGGGTGATTTAGTCCCGCTGAGGGATTTTCCTTTGTGTTTTTAATGCGATTTTTAAGCCTCATGTGATTGGGTAGCCAGCCCTAAGTGGCACAAGAATGGAACTCGTCAAAAGTTTTATCAGCACAGGGGTTTAAGAAAACGTGATGAAAGCAATTCTCCTTTCCTACCTTCCTTGTTCCTGCTGGCAGAGCTCTCCCTGCAAGTGCCCCAAGGAGGGAAAGGCACCCACCTGTCTTTCAGAGACCTCCTCAAGGCAAAGAAGTGGTGTAGTTCAATTTKCATCAGGCTGAAGCAAGTCAGCTGCTCTGTCATGATATATCTAATCCCACCCACAGAGCACCCCATCCCTTTCTTCGGGTGCACCGTGTTTTATTCAGAGGACACAAAGTTTCTGTTAGTTTTTTCTTCACTTTAGGCCACTATAGAAAAACAACAAAAAGAGAGACAGCCATTAGGTAACAAATTCAACTATTGGGGCTTCTCCCCCTTAATTTATCCTTTACCTTTATGTAGCTGGAACCAACTTTGGGTAAGTCAGATGTTTTTAAATACCTAGAGAAATTATTCTAATGTGCCAAACAAAGTGGCCTACTGCAGTCCTCACTACACTGCTGAAACTGCCTGAAGTCACACTAGGGCTAAACAGAAAATGGGCAGGATGATGAAAATTATGTTGCAGGTCAAAGATAAGAGAGGAAAAGAAGTAAACAAGTTAAGTGTGTGTGAGAAGAAAATATTTCCAACCGTGGTGATTCTTAGAGGCAGGTATCTGCTGGGCATGCTGCATTATCTTCCAGACATCCAGTGTTCTTCAGCAWGAAAATAAGGGTGCAAGAATATTGTGCAACTCGCCCTGGAGCTGGGATATGATCAGGAAAGTAGTTATCATTGTTAGGTTGAGTAATACTGCTGCAGCCAGCGGGTCTGTGTTAGCAAATCTGTGGTGTGTAAGTTCTCACCAAGTAATTTCAGAGCATCTGCTATACACTGAAAGGAAGGCTGAGCTGATGAACCTCTGTGATTACATTAATTTTAGAAAATGTACAGGGTGTTCTGTAAACATTGCACAGCTCTTTTGCTGCACAGGCAAACAAAGACTGCAGCACTGGCCAATGCACAGACTCTCCAGTGCATCCTTGCCTTTTACTCATTCTCTTAAGACCTACATCAGGTAACCAAAGAGAGATGGACAGGGCTTCTTCCATAATCAACTAATGCTGTTTTTCAAGTTAACAGTGCTTTTTATGGAAAATTGATACTAGTATTTAATTTCTTGGGAATGAAAATACAGGAACTCCCACTGCTAATGGACAGCCATGGGCTACTAGGCAGCTGTGGTCTTGCTGCCAGCACATGTTGCTTTATGGTTTCATCCCTCTTTCTCCTTGCAAGACAGAGTATTTTGCCACACTTGGGAAATCCTGAGAGATACTATTAGGAAATATAGCACATAATTGTTAGTAGCAATAGTACTTAAAAGACTGGGACACCAACATTCAATTCCAGCTGCTACATTCAAGCTCTTCACTTTGATGTTCTCTCCTTTGCTGTTCATGAGTGACTTCACTTTTCTTGATTTTTTTCTTTGTGCCTTCCCTGTTTCTATTTGCCTTCTTGGTTTTCTTTCTCTTAACACTAAAGAATTATTTCAGTGTTCTTCCTCCAACATGCATGGGTACAGATGTATAGCTGCATCATTTATTCACTGACGATTGTAATGGAGTAGTATTGTTTCAGTTTTATAGTATTTAGCACTTTCAGCTTACAAAACATTTTCAGACTTGCTCCCTGGGGGAAGCTGACAGAACCCCTGATAAAGTTCGGTTGCTGAACACTGCGAAGAAACCACCCTTATATTATGAACATCCAAATAAARCATTAACCCCCTTTGGGTTCTTACTTTCAAAAAAATAGTATTTGGCAGCTGTGCTGGAGTTGCACAGATCATAGCATGTGTGGAGAGCTAAGCCTGGCCTCTCTATAGCAGAGCAAAAGCAACAGGGTTAAAAATTAGCAAGATCTTTTTAACTTAACTTAACCTTATTATTAAATTTCTATCTCAACCTTTGGAAATTACTCATCGGAAGGCAACCAAAGAGAATCATTGTGCTCAGACCTCTTGTTCCCATCATACCTGGTTGCTCTGACACATGGCAATTGCTTCACATCTGAGTAAATGCAGAGCCTTTCACACTGGTCAGTAGKGATGACAAGTAGTGTACACAGCAACTGAGAGCTTCCTTGGGAGATAACTGYACAGATCTAAGTGCAGAGGACAGGGGAACTTCTCTGCTCAATTCAAGATGCTTTCTCATAAGTAGAATCCATTTRGTAGGAAGTATGGCAGCAATGACCACAGCAAAGAACTCTGCAGTTTTTTCCTCCCTCYCTTGAACATCCTCCACCCAAGACCAAACTGATCCTATCATAGCAAAGTACCACATCACTCTCCTCCTTCTCCCCAGCCTGAGTTTTGAATTCTTCCTTGCTTAATTTTTTTCACCCATTCAGTCTTTTGTTCTGTTTTTGACCTTGATTTGTATCTCTTTAATGGTTTTGTCTGCTGCCTTTTTWATGTGTATTTCTATTCACTGCCAACTTCCCCAAGCCCACAGTCCAGGCCTATCTGCCCTGTCTTGTTTACTCCTCACCTTCCTCATCCTGCATGTCTTGCCTCCATGCTCTCAGCTTACCTTCAAAACTCTGCTCTGCTTCTATCACCAGGATTTCTCTTGATCCCATGCAAACTGGATTGTGGTCCTAGCACTGAAATCTTGCCATCTGTGAGGCTGTATGGGCAAAGCCCCGAGTGCAGGGACAAAAACCATAATGCAMGAGCTCCCTTGCTGCCCAAGCTTACACCTGATCTCCAAACAGAAATCTATGGGGTCAGAACTGTGACAATGCAACATCATCTGTGCCATTTCCTATTGGTTTAAGCACATCTGTTACAAGTAGGATTTCCTCTTCCCCACTCCCTGCTTCCTCATCCTAGCACTCATGACYAGCAATAGAAGGTCTGAAATCCAGGGAAAGACAACAGTCAAGACAGTATCAATATGGCACATTTTTCTAACAAGCCTCTGAAATGCTCACTGATCTCAAACTTTACTTTCTCTCCAGGGCCTTCCGCAGTTGCCCTTTCCCCACTGCTGCAATCTCTTGAAACATAATCTCTCTCCYGCATAAAAGGTGAACAGGAATTGGGTATATTTGCCTACTGTATATCTGRAAAAACATCTTTCAGTTCTGCCCTCTTTTATGGTAGGTCTAATGTTTACATTTCAGTAAACTAAGCACAGCTCTTCTGTAGTATTTGGCTTTTGGCCAGAAAATGTGCAATGAAGGCTTTTCCTCCTTCCTTGCTTGCTGTTTTTCCTGCTGCTTGTACCCTAAATAAAGGAGCATGGCCTAGCAGAGCAAGGCATKACTTAGCCCTACTTCTGCAGGCTAATATCATGGGCTTGGCAGCTACAATTACTGCAACTGATTGAATGTTGYATGAAAGAGCCAAAGATGTGCTCCCATCCAGTTCTCCCTCCTTGTTTTACAAAACATCATTTAAGTACTTACCTTATCCTTGTCCTCCATGGTGTTTATTTTCCAAGGCARTTTCTCAAGTGTCCTCTATTGATTCACATCCCTCTGACTCCCACTGAACATCCTGCAGACAACACAGAACATTATTTTGCTTGAGCACAGGAAAGCACATGCTCTTTTCTTATTTGGCTCTGCCATTTTACTGAGGCTATGGGCTTTTTGGTGAATACAGGAATACACACTTCTTACTGCATGGAAACTTTTGCAGTTGCACTTTAAAACTGCTCTCAGTCAATGTTTGGTTTTGTTTCAGATTTGCTGTCTCAATGGAAGTGGTACCAGCTTGGGCCCCAGCAGTAGGTTTCACACTCCTGCCCCATGCAGGAGGATTTTTAGGAAGCAGTATAACCAAAAAGGAAATCCCAACATGGTATGAAACTCTACAGAAGCCATCCTGGTGTCCACCTAACTGGGTGTTTGCTCCTGTTTGGGGAACTCTCTATACATCTATGGGGTATGTTTTTCACATTGTATYAAGGCACTTATCTGATCTCAAACTTGCTTTTTGTATCATGCTGGAGCAGAGAACTATGACTGTACTCCTGTGGTTGTATGTTTGTAAGAAAYTGTGTCAAGCTGCCTCTTTAACAGGTAAAAACAGGTCTTGGGAGTTGTGTGTGGGTTTAATAGGACATTTTGCATGCAGAAGTATCCACACCAGAAGCAGGAGCTTGAGAAGCTGCCATTAAGTTGCTTTCCTCATTCATTCTGAGGGGAAGAACTTGCCAAGCKGGAAACAGTGGAGCAAGGAAACACTGGGACAGAATTCTTCTAAGTATGTCTTCCAGTAGTTTAGGGAAAACTAGAAAAAATAAAGAAGGGGGGAAATTAGAATAGAGCTGTTCTAACAGAGCTCAATAATACAATGGATGAAACTGAATGCTAGACTGGCACTCCAACATTCTCTCATTTTGCTTTCATTTTCTTTCCAGGAAAACTTTGTAATTTTTATAGCCTTATGTCCCGTCCCTCCCCACCAGTAATCTCTTATCTTTCTGCTCTTACAGACTCTACTTTTTAACTTACTTAAGTGTAATACTTGCATATTTCAAGAGTTAGCATTTGAATGAGATCATTACTGGCCTGTGAATARAAACATGCCTTTTATCAAGGAGAAAAGATGTGGGTGGCTTTCCCAACTTCCTTCAAGTTGATTGCACAATCTGTGACCCTGTGTCTGGATTCCTCATCACAAATCCGRGTAGTAGCTTAAATACCCTAGCAGAATCAGTATAATGAGATGGATGGTCTTGGTTAAGTATAATACATCTAAGCCCAGTGAAAAGATCATGCTTAGGAGCAGGCTTTTCTTCTCTAATCCATCATGCACACACATTCCTTGAATGAACAAGACATTTCATTCCTCCACAATCTCTTGAATGTATGGAAAGCAATAAATAACTAAAAGTAAGATTTAATAAGCTTATCTTCCTTTCTTGACATTTAGCTTCCTCGATTTGTACATCATGATCTTGGTCTGAAGTTTAAGTTAGATGCATGAACATATGCAAGTCCACACTGTGCTCTGGAACTCAYTTAGAAAACTTAAGTTTCTAATGCTTACCCTGCCCTCCCTTTGCTTTAATAATTCTCTGCAATCAAACTGCCAAGATACCAAAGCTGCATTGTTCAGTCCCTGTGAAAGTAATGGCCTATGAAAGTAATAAAAGGGTTTCCTCCTGCTCCCCATACTCAGCTTTGCTTTGGGATCCCACTCAATACCACTTATTTCATCCACTTAAAGAGTGGAGTTTAATTTTTAGAATTTTTAAAGTACCATGTCCCAGTAACCAAAACAAAGTTTCTTCACTATTTGCATCTTAGACATGTTTCCATTTCAACATGTCTTTTAAGACTGAAATGCAGTGGGTTATCTGCTCCTATGCACTTAGAAGTGAGAACTCTTAGCATGACTGGAAATTTTTCTCTCCATGTTGTTATCCAGAGCAGCTGATCAAGCCTGTGCTGTCAGTTACTCTGCCAAGTAGTGCCTGGATATCTAAATTTTCCAACCTAATCTGTACCCTAGCACCGAAGTTATTTCATTTGATCAAAAATGTGTGGTAGCTTTAAGCAGTGTAGTGAATTACACTTACTTTTTATTTTCTATAGATACGGCTCCTACCTGGTGTGGAAGGAACTGGGGGGCTTCAATGAAAAGTCAGTGGTTCCTCTGGGTCTATATGCAGGGAACCTGGCATTAAACTGGGCATGGACTCCAATATTTTTTGGAGCTCACAAAATGGGATGGGTAAGTGTAAAACTAAGTTTCTTAATCAAAGGCTCCAACTCTTACTTAMAAGGTACCAACATGGAAGGTTTGTGTCATAATCTTTTCTCCCTGAGAATGGCCCTGAGTACAGAATATGGCTTGCAGAAATTTTCTAAAATTATCTTTAATGCATGCCAGCAGCCACCTGAAAGAATTTACAGATCTAGACTATTGTTAAATGGATACATTTCAAGCAGCTCTTTCTGCCAGCCTTTGGTAAGAGCTTTGTGTGACTAGAAAATGCAAACATTTGTGCCTTACTGTAATTCCCAGGTCTTTCTGGGAAACCGCAGTGAGAAGAAGCTTATTGCATTATTCAGTGATCAACACCCACTTTAGAAAAGATTAATTTTCTGCAGTTCTCTTAAGAGAAATAGCCTGTCTCAAAAATAAGAGCTGGTAATAAAAAAATAAAATATTTTCCTGGTTCTCTAGATGTACATGCAGTGCTGTAACAGGGAAAGACTCGGCAATCCATCACAGATTCAGTCACACCTCATCTTTTCAGGTGGCAATGGTGACATGAACAAACTGGACAAGTCTGCTTGCTCCAAGTCACACTGGGAAGTGTCTCACTGCCCACTAAAGAGGGTATGGGTGAGAGAGACTTAATTTTCCCTCTGCTCCCACCTGTACTGTTGTATTGTTTTATGACTTGAAGTGATTCATAGCTCTTATCACAGCAGGAATCTATAATCTTTTCCTGCTGGCTGGTTTTCTGAGAAGGATTTAACTCAGAGAGATAGAACAGGTGCCASAGCTAGGTGGAAGGAGTGGACTGTGGAGTAAAGGAAATGCAAGGAGTGAAAACAACACTTAACCACATTCTGTGTTTCAGGGGTTGGTGACTCTCCTGCTCACAACTGGTACAGCAACAGCTACAGCTGCTTCCTGGTACAACATCAACAAAACAGCAGCTTATTTGATGGTTCCTTATTTAGCTTGGCTAAGCTTGGCTTCTGCACTCAATTATCGGATCTGGAAGGACAATCGCAACAAGGAAAAACCTGAATAAGCAGTTTTCAGCCAAAACCATTTTTTTCTCAATAGGTTTTTTTATATAAAATTATGGCCTTATTTTATTTTTATCTGAACTACTTCTACCATTAGTTTTCTAATTAGAAGTTGACAAAACAAATACACCTTTATTAGGCAACCCACAAGGGGTTGAATTTCTGATTGGGTTTTACAGCAAACTAAAAGTCCTGATTGGAAAGTACTGGTGCCCTATAACAGCATTATATGCTACATGACAACAGCATTTTAACTGTTACCAGAAGAAAGCAGGAACTCAAACTCCCTTATATTCAGAACAAGAAATCCAGCCACACACTAACAGAGTTTCCAGAATGGTGTCCCAAACAGTGACAGGCATAATTGTGGCATGAATCTTCTGTTTACCACTAGGCACAGCGCTTTAGTGCTATGATGTGTCCCACTAGAGCTACCAGGTATTTGTCTTCTGGTCAGTGTACTCCAGAAATGTTTAAGAAGAGCTCTTTTTAACAATTTGTGCCTTCCACTTTGAAGAACTGTATATTCTAGTGTCAGACAAATGCATTAAATTACATGTAAACTTACTAACCTTGTTCCTTGCTGGTATCATTTTGGAATTGTTTCGAGCATAAGAATACTGAAGGCAGCAGGATGCTTTAGCCTCAAAAACGGTCTTTTAATCTCTTCTCTTCACCTTTGCAATGCCAAGACAAACCAGGAAATTCAGAGCACCTGTGAAGAAACTGTGAGAACCCAGTCACAACATTTCTTTAATCACATTTATGTAAGAAGTCCAAACAAGTTCTGGTTTCCCTGAGAAGGAAGTCAACATGGTGTGAGGATCACTTCTGGCTATGCAAGACCAGTCTCCCTTCTGCTCACCTGCACAGTGGATTTTCTGAAGTCACAGATGATTTATTTCTCCAGCCTATGAGCAGTCAGTGGAACAAAGCAATTTTCTGCAGACCAACCTGAAATAGCTCAAAATATTCCTGTATGCTCCTAATCATTTGGGATAATGTGTTGCATGTTTGCAAACCTTGAAGAAAGGTTTAGAACAYTTGCAGTTACAAAATTATGTACTTTCTTCTCAAGCACATCCAAATTGCTGCAGAATAGCTTAAGTAACTACCACCCACAGAATACATATATCAGGACAGACGGCAGATTTTTTTGCAACTTGAACATAAAATTGTTACATTTCAGCAAGTGACCCTGCACAGAGGAAAGATCAGGAATGATTGATTTCAAATTGATACCCCACTCCCAAATACCCCTCTGTTAGGCCCTAAACTTTGAAGTTCAAAGACCGTTAGGGCTTTGAGAAGAGATTTCCAAATCCTTTTCATTCCTTTTGGCTTCTCCATTCCTGGGCAGCTCTAGAAATTGCCTCCTGCTCACTTCCTCAAAAATCTGGTGGTATAGGGTGGAGAAGGGCSCCAAAGACTTCACCTTTAGCAAAGCAGGGCTGGCCCCTCCCACCAGACACAGGCACTCCAGGATTTTTCAAGACACGCAACATCCAGTCTCTGAGAGCAACCTGCCGAGCTGGCCTTRCAGTGTCTTGTCCAGTGYYAGWGTCCCTGCAGCTGTAGGCTCCACAGCTCTCTGAAGCCTAAGCCCAACCCACAGGGCAGCTTGCTGTTTGGGCTGAGGTGCCCACCCCTATGGGGAGTCCAGATGGCAAAGGTGTGGGAGCAGCAATGTTGGGGCCTTACCGCAATGGTCTCTGCAGGTTAAGCCCTGCATCCTTAGATCCAGCGGTTTAAYTCAAGTTTCTATTCCTCTCTCTTAGGAGAAATCCCCATCAGTTATAGTCAAGAGGTGAAAATCACTCTGATGTTCATTGCAAAAGGATCAAAAGCAAGCCATCAAAAATCAACCATATTTGGCAAATAATAAAATACAATTTAGAACACACCATAAAACTACTTATCAWAAAATTACGTGGTGTTATTTTAGCATTTACTTAGCATCAAGTTAGCCCAACAAAGAAAAACCTTGAAAGTTAGGAAATGGTATTTTACCCAGAAGTTCCACAATAACAGAATTGGGAAAACAAAGAGAGGCCGAGAGAAAGATCGAAGGGGGAGGCTAAGGATGAYAGCCAGCAGCACAAGATTCGTAAATGCTGTGGGGTGTGTTTCTCTCTTTTTAAATATGAAAAATGGGAAGATTCATAGAATCTTTAGTCTTGTTAACCGCATAGTTCATTGCRCTGAAATACCCTATTATTATTATACTATTATTTCCCACCTACCAGCATGTAGATCCTTTTATAGGAAGGATAGTTAAGACAGCGACATACAAACTCGCACATGATTCAGTAAATGAGTTTTAATGTTGACACAAGGAACTTGCACAATGTTTCCCAGCAAGCAAGCAATCAGGCTACCTGAAAAATAAGTCCTACTTGGACATTTCCAATATTCAATAAACAAGACACTTTGTCAATACACACCAATGATTTACAGAAAGAATGAAGACAAGGAAAATGCAGACAAAGGGATTATCAATATAGTATATGRTATATGCATATTCTTCTGATATGATTTTTTTTTCCTTGGTGATCAGTACAGGAAAACAGTTGCATCAGCAGCTCATAGAACTGAAATATAAATCCTGCTGTTAAGCATGTCTGAGAAGGAAATTGATAGTCATGTGTCCTGTGGTTAGACAATGCGTGTTACGTGGCAGTTGTCAGTTTCATCCAGAAATAGGGTGCTGAAGACATCATTAAAAAAGGTAGGGTGGTACCGGCAGGCTCTGTCACAATCAGGATTAAAGTTCACCTCCAAGATCTGAGGCTGCATAATTCTTTTCCCTGTAAAGGCAAACACAAACATTGCTACTTAAAACACATTCTACAGAGATCCCAAATCACTGCTTGTCTTTAATGCGGAATTTATAGAAAATTATTGGTAAAAGCCATTTTTATAACCCAAATTGGCAAGCCAGCAAAGTTTTTTTGTTTCAGTGGGCTGTTTTTTATTGGAGGCACACAAGTGTSTTCTACCATCTTTATTCAGAGGACAGTTACCCAACAGATTCTGCAATCACTGTGCTAACTCAATGMCTCATTTGGAATGAGAATTTGCAGYAATTTAATAGGATCTCCCTAATACAGCTGTTTTGCTTGGCAATCTTAAACATCTTCCAGAAAACTCTGCTTCTCCTTTCACATTTGATTACAAACCTTGCTTTCTTATAGCTCTTAGGTATATAGCAGTCCTGTTCTTCAATTGTAGTCACCCTATCTGCTACTTCATGTCACTTCTAAAGGAAGTCAGAAAGTTTAATTTTCTTTTAAAACTTCATCTAGATCAAATATATTCCGTGCAAAGAAAACCAAAGGATTTTACTTCATGTCTGCTGTCAAGATTATTCTGTGAGGGAACAACCTTCTGATGGTGAAGTAAACCCTACTCTGTGCTTTGCACAGGAGTGACAAACCTACAGCTTTACAGCAGTGACACTGGCACCAACCCTTCATCTCCAAAAGGCCAGTGAGGGACCTGTGCAGCTCATGTTCAGCCAGGGGAGTCATGTGACGTTGGTTCTTCTACTACAATGGTGTTTCTCAAGCTAGTAATGATAGCGAGCTGTTTTGCTTCTCCCATYCAAGAYATCTCTGGCACAGGTGAAAGAGCAYCCAATGTAGATGYAGCAAATCCACATTTAACCCCTCCACCTGATCTGAACARCAAAGGCTCAATTCCACACCTCCTTTTCTCAATCACTTCCCTCCATGACAGTGACTCAGTATTTACAGAACCAGTCACTGCAGCAGTGGGCATGAGGCACTCACCCAACACACATCATCTAATTGCTCCTCAGGCAAATCTGGCCACAGGCAATTAACTTCTCCTGAGTCCCAGAGAACCCAGGACCACGAAAGGAGAGTATTCTCTGCTCTGTTCAGTACTCTCCTGGGAGTCTGGTTGCTGCCTCTGCTACTTTTTACCTCTACAAGAGACACATGTCTGGGTTAGGCACATTTACAGAAYATTTTTGGGCCTCTTAGAGAGATAATAAATCATTCAGTCTGTTTGGCAGATTTTGCTACCAATCCTCCRCAGCTGCCTGGAAGAAAGGCTTTAGGTAGTCAGCCATGCTGTGGCACTAACATGAAGCAGCTTCACTAACATTTTCTTGCAGAGACTTGGTAACAACTGAATAACAGCCCTRAGGACATCAATAGCACTGAAATGGTGAATAAGTAACTGTACACTGAAGACACTGCTCCAGGCCAGGAAGCCACAGAGAATCAGATGTCTCTAAGGTTTTCATAGAGTGATGGGTATTTCGGACATTTGTTTGGGGGGTTTTGTGAGTGGTGGTTTGTTTGGGTTCTTTTGGTTCCCCCTGACCCCACTGYTGTTTTGTTCTGTTTTTCTCCAGAGAATAGCAGCAGCAGGGGTACAAGGGAAGCAATGATGCAGCCAAGCAATTGGTAGCTGCCCCAYAATTCCTGTTAACCAGCATAGCAGATGCCAACCCCAAAGACAGGCAACTCCAGGTGTCAGTGGGAGGCATAAAGCACACAGGTCACACTGCTTGAAAAACAGTATGASTTAAAAGAAACACATTTCTAAAAAAGGTCCACAAACATAATGAATTCAACATTCAAATAAAGGAGCCTCTCACCATCTCTGCTGGTGTCCCATTTAAGCATCAAGTCAATGGCATATATTGCTCTGGATGATGGATAATCACAGATGCCAAGAGGGGCAGGTTTAGATGAAGCAGCTTGGAACAATTCAGCRAATGCCTCAAAAATACTTGCCTAATAAAAGAAAAAGGTCTTTGAATGTTGAGTGAGGTTCCATAAAAGCAATAAACATGTTTCTAAGCACTTCATTCATACAGTGTTTTAAAGGGTTTGTATGAATTACGCTACACAACAGATKAAAATCTGCAAAGTATTGGCTTCCAAATGTGCATTTAGACCTAATGCCAACACAGAGAAAGGATGCAGCATCTGGCAATACCCACAGACTTTTCTGGGGAGCCAAACAATACTAYGGAAATCCTGAACATAGTGCACTTRACAACAGAATTAACCCCCTTCTCACACATTATGCAAAGTGTTGTGCTTAYGTGTAGAGGAGGGGAAAAAGAAAACCCAGTACAGTTCTGTGAAGACCMGAAGTGAAACCGTAAAGTTCTGGGGTTTTTCTTCTGCCTATTAAGTTGTATTATAGCTTTTTTTTTATTCTGTTGTGCAATGAAAAATCTTCTACCCACTTATATACCTAAAAAGGGTGGGGGCAGACATGGAGAGTATATTTTAAGAATATACTACATAGCTATTTTGAAAACCAGCTAGATATCCAATTTGAAACTAAAACCAAACATGAAGAAAACATAGGTGTGAATTTTAGCATTGAGTCTATATTGCAGTGAACCATTCCCTCTGCAAATGAAAAGATTGTGTAAAACTCCCTATTCTGCACACAGTGCTACTTTGGGTAACCTACAGGATGTATTTTGAAATCTCTCTTTTCACCCCTTGTAGTCTCTTTCAGGCCATTTTAAACCGTGTCATATTCTGAGTATCATTAATTGGATACAAGGGTCTAGT